AGCCTGGGACACCCCCCTTGCTCCCGCCGCTTCCCCCCGCCTCCCGTGGGGCACCGGGTTGACTGAATTAAGGCCAAAAAGGTCAAAAGAGCACTTTCGAGGCCAGCACGGTGCTGGGAAAGGGGCTTCGGTGGAGGGAGCGGGCGCAGGCGGCAGGTCGTACCCAACGGCTCCCATCCCCACACCCCACCGAGGTGTGGGACCGCTTTAAAACACAGCGTCCAGCCGACAAAAGCAGGCAATACGATGTACGTATATGTAAAAAGTGTTGTAAATAGTTTTTTTAAACCACTGACACTATATACATCTTCAATGTGTTGTTCGTGTTCACAATCTCAGTTGAGGGCCAGGGTAACGGGGTCCGGCGTTTTCCAACCCAACGGGGTCATCCCAAACTCATCCCAGTTTGGAAGGGTGCGACAGGCATCCACCCCGGTGCAAATCGGCGGCGGGTCCCCTTTGGACCCTTTCCAAAAGGGATTCAAACCTTTGTGTTGTTTCCACTCTGAAAGTCAGCTTGCGCTGCACGCTTTCAAAAACGCATCCCCGAGACAAAGCGCCGGTGCAACACTGAGGCGTTGATACCAAGCGATGCTGCTCACTCTTTGACATCTTGGCACGGATGCGGAGCACCGCGCTGAGAAGCAAAAATGAAGCAGGGAGATTTTTGTGTCTTCTTAGGTATTGAGCCAAAGTGAAAAAAGAGCATCTTCTTTAACTTTTCCTTAGGAGAGGGGAAAAAACACCTGTGTTGCTACCTTCTCCTCAGAAAGGAAATTTGTGTCCTCTGTGCCAAACACACGGTTTCCAGCCTGGCAGGATCCAGGATGACCATGTGGTCCAAGTGCTGCAGCTCACGGGGGTGTGAATGCTGCCTCAGCGAGCGAGATCCCCTCCTGGGCTTAGTCACAGCTCAGCAAAACGAACCCAGAGGGAAACCATCCCCGCTGGGAGCCCACAACTGGGAGCCCCATCCATCCAGCGAGACGCCCTGGTGGTCGTGCTGTGCTGCCCAGGCTCCATGCTGATCAGCTGAGGAGGTGCGGGGCAGATCCCACTCCTTGGACATGCTGGAGCGAGTCCAGAGGAGAGCCACGAGGATGATCCGAGGGCTGGAGCACCTCTGCTGTGAGGAGAGGCTGAGAGAGTTGGGGGGGTTCAGCCTGGAGAAGAGAGGGCTCCAGGGAGAACTTAAAGCCCCTTCCAGTGCCTAAAGGGGCTCCAGGAGAGCTGGGGAGGGACTTTTTACAGGGGCATGGAGTGATAGGACGAGGGGGAATGGCTTTAAACTGGAAGAGGGCAGGTTTAGATTAAACATTAGGAAGAAGTTTTTCACTGTGAGGGTGGTGAGGCACTGGCACAGGTTGCCCAGAGAGGTTGTTGAGGCCCCATCCCTGGAGGTGTTCAAGGCCAGGGTGGACGTGGCCTTGGGCAACCTGGGCTGGTGGGAGGTGTCCTGCCCAGGGCAGGGGGTTGGAACTGGATGATCTTCAAGGTCCCTTCCAACCTAAACCATTCTATGATTCTCTGTGGCTGGGTGGAGGACTTTGGGAGCTGGCCTGATGTTAATAACTGGCCTCAACACGCGGCCGTGCAAAAGCTGTTGTGTCTCTGCCAGCACCAGTTGCTACATCAGCTGAGATATTTAATAGCCAAACGAATGAGCGAAAGGAGGTGTGGATGCTTCTACGCCAGCCGTCACGGCTGCACATCCCGCGCACAATGTGCTAATCCCCCCGGCCGGAATCGCACCCCTGAGCTCTGGGTGTTTTGGCGCACGGGCTTCTGCGGTTTGTGCTGGGTGGCAGAGCCCCCCCGCATCCCCCCGGCGCAGCTGATGCTGACCCGAACCGTCCCTGCTCTGGACACTGGGAGGGGGTCAGCACGGTCCTGCCAGCTGCTGCCTGGCTACTGTCTTTGGGGACTTGGTGGTCACATTGCCGGAGGACGGTGGGACAGAGGCAGAGAGATGAGCACGCACCAGCACTACGGCACAGCGCCCTGAGCTCAGCTCCTGGCCCTGGCACTAATGCTGGTGCGGTCTTACCCCTCCGGCACAGGTCCATCTGCCCTCAGACAGCCCAGTGGGTTCATATCCTCTCTCAGCGGCACCAATTAGCCCAGAAATCTGCCACATGGCATCAGAGAGACCTTCTGTGCGATGGCCGTGCGAGCAGACCGGTGGAGAGCAGCCCAGCTCTAACCCACAAAACCACCAAAAAGCAGCAGCGACTGAGTTATTCTGACTTTTATTTCATTGCTTCTTAGTCCACACAGTCGGTATAAAATCAGAAAAGCGAAGCAAAAAAAAAAAAAAAAAAAGAACCAAAAAAAAAAACCACCCCAAAATGAAACAAAAAGAACAACAACAGCAAAAGAGTGTCTGGAGTCCTCAGAAGGCAGCCTGGGGGCTGCGCAGGTGCCCGTTCAATTCATGGCCAGACACATCGCTGCCACACAGACAGAGGACAGACATCTCGCTCCGGCAGCAAAGGCCAACGGGGCTCCAGCCGGAGCTGTTTCTGCTCCTCTTGACCACGGGGAGGGGAAAAAAGGAACGTCGGTTATAAATGCTTTATTAAAAATAATAAGAGCAAGTCTAAGTACAAAAGCAGTTATAGCTCATTTATATTACACAGAATTATTTCTCATTTCTAGCTTTGTTGTTTACCTCAAGGTTGTTAACTCAATTTCCAGTGAATAAGGTTAAATGGCTAGCAATATAAGGAATGGTAAATAGATAGCACCATTTCATATATCTGGTATTCGATTTCATAGATATACTGGGTTTGCTTCTTTCTCATCGGTAGTTTTAGCTCCACGGCAAGGATAAAGCACTTTTCACGGTTGGGAACATCAGTGCCCCGGCAGCACAGCACAGCACGGCACGGCACGGCACGGCACGCACCCCAGCCCTGCCGGCACGGGCGCCGGGAGCATCCCCAGAGCCCGCACGGGCCAAGCGGGACAGCCTGCGTTGGATTGCAATTCAACCTAAGTGATTTAAAAGCCCAAATTCCCAGCGGGTGTGGTGGCAAGGCAATGGGACTCTAGGCACATAAGTCATTTAGGCACTTGGGGCAATCAAAGCCTTTGCTCCGAAATCCTTCAAACCTTTCGGAAGCGTCTCCCGTCAGATCTGGACACGCGCTTCGGTTCCCAGGATCACAGCGTGTGGCACGAGTGGGGGACCAACCCTTCGGCGGGCGTAAACAGGCGGAACTCCAATTTACGCCCGCCGAAAACCAGTCAGAGCAGGGGGGTTTCTGATGGTTTGATATGGGCTGGGAGGGGGAAGGAGAGTTCAGGTCAAAGAGGATTTTGCATGAGAGGAAAATCACCGCGCTCTTGTTACACTGTTAGGAGTAATAGTTCCTTAGGCACTTGCTTTAGGCTTTAAAACGTAGCGCATGGTCAACAAAAGCAAACAATACTATGTACATATATGTAAAAAGTGTTATAAATAGGTTTTTTAAACCATAGATACTATATACATCTTCAATTAACAAGTAACCCTTTGAGTGTTTCCTTTTGGGGTCGGTTGGGTTTGGTTTTGGTTTTGCTGGGAGGGTTTATTCCTTTTCTTTTTTTTTTTCTTTTTTTTTTCTTTTTTGTTAATTTTCTTTTCCGTTTTCTCGTCTATTTTCCCCCGCCTCCGTCTCCTCCGTGGACGTCATGAGTGCCCTTGTCACGCCACGCCGCCTCCCGCGGCATCACTCGCGCTTCCGTAGGATGACGTAGACGATGCCACTGGCGAGGGCCAGGGGGAAGGCCAGCCACGCCAGGATATAGGCGAAGCCGTAGGAGGTGTTTTCCGAGGCTTGGTGCCAGTCCGTGTGCCTCACTGTGAAGATGGCCGCGCCGCTCATCACGCAGAGCCCTGCCGGGGAAATGCACATAGGAAAGGGGTCAGCGATGCCGCGCATGGAGCAGTTCCCTGCTGGAAACCCTGAGACGGGGAGGGTAATACCCAACGCCAGCATGGGAAACTGCTGTTATTATTCAATCGTAGAATGGTTCAGGTTGGAAGGGACATTGAAGACCATCCAGTTCCACCCCCTGCCCTGGGCAGGGGCACCTCCCACCAGCCCAAGTTGCTCCAAGCCCCGTCCAACCTGGCCTTGAACACAGAATCCCAGCATCCCAGACTGGTGAGGGCTGGAAGGGCCCTCTGGAGCTCCCCCAGTGCCACCCCCTGTCAGAGCAGGGGCACCTCCAGCAGTGGCACAGGACGGCGTCCAGGCGGGTTTGGGATGGCCCCAGAGGGGGAGACTCCCCCCCCTCTCTGGGCAGCCTGTGCCACTGCTCTGCCGCCCTCACAGCAGAGAAGGCCCTCCTCAGGTGGAGATGGAACTGCCTATGCTCCAGTTTGTGCCCGTTCTCTCTTGTCCTGTCACTGGGCACCGCTGAACACCTCCAGGGATGGGGCCTCAACAACTTCTCTGGGCAACTTGGGCCAGTGCCTCACCACCCTCACAGTCAAAAATTTCTTCCTAACATCTAATCTAAATCTCCCTTCTTCCAGTTTGACGCCATTCCCCCTCATCCTATCTATCTATACGATTGCCCCCCTTGTAGCCTATCTCCTGGAAAACTAGGGTGTGATTTGCAGGGGGGAGTGATGCTGTGGGCTCTGCCCCAGCTGCAGGTGAGTGCGGAGATCTCTGCCAGGCTCTGAGCAAGCAAAGAGCATCCGGAGCATCGCCTGGGCTAACCCATCCCTCAGACAAGCATCAGTCATCCCCCCGCTCTGGGCTGCTGCTCCGGCCCAGCCCCACTCCCTTGGGTAGCTTTTTTAAAAAACTGTAGCCTGAACCACCCTGCCAGAGCTGCTGCAAGAGGGCAGACACAAACCCCGTCTTTCTTTTTTTAAAGCATGAAAGTTTCTTTATCACCTGCCCAGGCAAGTGCAGCTGCGGGACAAGGATGCTCTGGCCGGGCAGGTTCGTGTCCTGCGATCCCCCGTCCTCCCGCGGGGCTGCGAGAGGAGCTCAACTGCAAACCCCACTCTCCGCAAACCCCGCAGCGCCCACAGCTCGTCCCTCCTGCCCGGCTCCCGGCGTCCATCCTCGCCAGCCACGGGCCAGCGCGGGTCCCCCAGGGCCGTCCGGCCGGACCCAGCTCCGGTAGGCAGCGTTTTAGCTTTGTTGCAAAAACAACCCAGCAGCGTTGGGGACTGCCCAGAGTTAACACAAAGCCACCTCTATTTCTGCCCAAAAACGAGCTCTTTCAGTCAATCCCAGCAGCTCTATTATACAGTGGAGGGGCTGTTGTCGGAGCCGAGTTCCAAATCCCCTGCACGGACCTTGGGACCACCTACATTTCACCACCGTGATATTTGAGCTGTAATTCCACTCGACACTGCTCCTTTGTTCTGGGAAAGTGCAGAAGTGGGAATTTCATTAACGCGCCGCCGGTGCAGTTTCCATTCTCGAAGCACGAGAGCCGACTCCCACTGCCCCGACCCATGCAAAGAGAGCGCAACTATTGTCTGCCGATGCTGGTGGGATGCCGCTGTTCTCCTGACCAAGCGGCCGGCCACGCCGCTCACCTACAGACGGCAGAAAATACAGCGGCGATTGTCCGTATGAGGAATTTGGCAAAAGGGAGGCGATGCATCCACAGCATCCGCGCTGATTTTGGCCCAGCGAACACGCTCGGGACGTGAAGGACAGCTGCATTCAGCTGCTTGCACCGATGCGGGCAATAACGCGTCCCCACATTACAGCCTGATTTTAAGAACACATTTTTTTGTCTTGCTTTGACGGGCCGGGAGGACAAATGCTACCTAAAAATGTGGTTTTGCGGGTCTGTGCGTTCTGGCGCTGTAGACAAGGTGGGATGGGAGCTGGTGCACGCTCGTGGTCAGCTCTTCGACGCAGGGCTTTGCAAAAAGCCGCGGGATACGCGGAAGGCAGAGCCCTCCAGGCTGAGCCCACCCTCTCCACCCCGCGGGGACAGCAGCTCTGGGGTGGGAGGGATGAGAGAAAAGGGATCAAAATGATGCTGAGGATGGAGAGAGTGATGGAAAAGTTGGCTGAAATCCTGAGAGGCCCAAACCAATGTCTTCTCCCCTGCTGGCTTGCACAGCTATGATGTGGTGGACCCACCATGGGCTTACACCCGTGGATGTGATGGACCCACCAAGGACGGAGGGGAGCTGTTGAGGGCCTTTTGATGCCTTTGTGATGGCTGAAATCCCATCAGGGCAAATTCAGCTAGACTTCGGGGCGTGTTTCCAAGCAGTGCAGAGAAGGTGCTGGGGACGCATCCTGCCTGGCCACTGCACAACAGACCCAGTTGAACTTGTGCGTCTCTTCTTGCCCTTCCTTCCACTCCCCAGTTCCCCCAAGCCGCAGCTGAAGGCGTAGTGGAGACCAGCCCTTGCCCTCCTCCCTGGCTTTCAGGGCACCGATGCGTGGCTCTGCCACCCAACAGCACCCAGCAGTCCTGCCCCTGGCACCCACAGGTTCAGGTCCAGCATTGCTGTTGGTCGGGCTCCAAAGCTTTGCCAAGTGGCATCACCCCGAGAGGAGGCGCAGGGTGATGGAGGGCTTCAGGAAGGACCTTCTCATCCCCTCCCAGAAGGAGGGAGGTCCTCTCCAGCTCTGCTGGAGCTGAGAATGAAGCACTCAAGAGGGTAAGGCCATGTCCCTAGCAGACCTGCAGCAGGGCTTTGTGGTGCCAGGGCTTTGCAAGGCAGGGATGAAGACCTGCAAAGCCTGAAGGCCACAAGAATTTCCTCCTTTGGCTTTAGACAGCGGTGGCCTGCAAGGTGCAAGGAGACCACGTAAGGTTCAGCTCCTTTGACCAGAGCTGTCCGTACCTCCAGGTGGGATCTCCTAGCAGCGCTGGCACAGCCATGTCCTGTTTTCTACCAACAACCCTGAAATTTAAGGTCGCAAAGACCACAGCTGCCCTGAGCCCCCTCCTCCAGCGCTGGCTGGGGAGAATAGCAAGGATGGCCACTAACACCCACCTCTGCACGGTCCATCTGGACTCAGACCTCTGCCTACGGCTCCCCCAGACCATGGGGATCAGGTCACACTCCTCCTGTCCTTCACAGTTGCTGGGGATGGATTCGACCCATGCCTCAGGCCCAACAAGGGAAGAGACGGTAGGTCTATGTCCTGACCCTGCATCCCCTTAGGACACCCCGCACAGCACAGACCGGAGGGCTGCAATCCCATTTTTTTCTCTCCCTCTGAGAATGAGGATTCACCAGCAATCGCTCAGGAGGGAGAAGCCTTCTGCTTCCCAGACCCATTAGACAAGCTCTCAGGCAGATAATTGCATTATTAATGCCCATTTCCCCTCCTTGTCTCCATGGCTGTAATGGGTTCCTACACATCCATCTTTCCAGAGACGCTGAACTGATATGAACTCATCACCTGCATTATGGCCACGCAGATACACTTATAATAGATTTCATGCCACGCTTGCTAATACAGGTTAGCTCTAAACCTTTCCAGGGTTTGCAAAGGCCATTCGCTTAGAGGATGCTCAGAAACTTTGTCTAAAGTTCAGTGGATGAGGTTTTTTTCCACTGATGTAGTGGCAGGGCTCAGGGTGGCTTTTAGTTTAACATCTAAAGCTCTAGCAATGATTAGTTTCCTTCCCAGACTGTCTATCATAATTTAGCCAGAATCTCGTCGCACAATTTAATTTTTTTCTAGGCTGAACGCTTAAAAAACCCTCTCCACCCATCCGCGGAAACACAAACGGAGCTGGCAGCTTTACAGCGTCTATATTTGGAGAACTGCAAGGTAGGACACGAAGCGTGGTTTGTTTCCAGCGCTGAGTTCTCGAAGAGTTCAAAATAGCAGCTGACAGTTCAGAGTCAGCTGGCTCACCCTGCCCGCTCCGCTCCGCCGGCTCTCCGCTCATGTGGAAAGCACCAGACCCCCCCTTTATGGCAAGTTTATAAATAATCATCGGATCCTCTTTCGCCAGAAGAGGATGGTCGCTACTTCCCCCACCCTGCCAGGACGACTCGCCCTCGGTCCGGCAGCCCCCACGCCCTGCCTGCCCTACCGCTCCACGGCCGGCACAGCTCTGACCCCTCATCCGTCCGGCATCCTGCCCCTCCGAAACCTCCCCGGCCGGGGCAGACACCTGTGGTGCACCTTCCAGGATGCACGGGAGAGAAGAGCTTGGATGCATAACGTGCCCTGACGGCCCGACTCCATCCTGGGGAGTGCGAGACCTCAACGGACCCAAATTATTCATCCCCCTTTCCCTTATAGAACAAGAGGGAACGGGCACAAACGTGACCATGGGCAGTTCCATCTCCACCTGAGGAGGGCCTTCTCTGCTGTGAGGGCGGCAGAGCAGTGGCACAGGCTGCCCAGAGAGGTGGGGGAGTCTCCCCCTCTGGAGCCATCCCAAACCCGCCTGGACGCCGTCCTGTGCCACTGCTGGAGGTACCCCTGCTCTGGCGGGGGGTGGCACTGGGGGAGCTCCAGAGGGCCCTTCCAACCCCCACCAGTCTGGGATTCTGGGTGATTCACTGAGCCATGCAGGAGCCAGCTTGGTGGCCCTCCTGCTTCTGTACCCGAGAGTGTCCTCGTTTCCACCATTACCATCTTCTGTTTGAAAGCCCTCTCCCCACCGGCAACAGCCCCATCCATCAGCTCCCACTTACCGGCAAGGATTTGGAAGATTCCAGTAATGTAAAACCGCCCGCCCTTGGTGAGCGTGAAGAGCTGGCAAAAGAACAGGAACAGGGACAAGACGCTGAAGATGATGGAGAGGATCATCATCGCTTGGACAGACTGCAGCCATTCTGGGGAAAGACAGACAGAGAGGAACCTCAGTGGGGGCACCACAGATAGCGAGCCCTCACCATGGCATCGTCCCCCATGCCACCGTCCCACCCCTGGTTCCCGTTAAGTCTCTTAACATCTGGGGGATGTGGCCACATCCAGGGGTGGTGAGGTCCTCAGCACGGGCACGATGCTGCCTGGAGTTCAGGATGACGCGTGCATGGACCAGCGTGCTGGGGTAAAACGAATCGCGGGGTCCCGCGATTTCTCGGGGAGCGTTTCTTATAAAATACGAGCAGAGATATTAGCCCTGACCCGAAGCCTGCAGAAATCGAGACACAACCTCTCCCCCAGCTTCACGTCAGGCGCTGGGAGTTCAAGTTGTACTAGAAGCACAAAACATGCGACAAGCCGTGAGACACCAGGCTGGCCAAGCTCAGAGGTAAAATAAATATACAGCGAGCGAAAACACCCTCTCTGCCCTTCTGGAGTCGAACCTTTTGGAAAGAGCCTTCCCCAGCTGCCAAATGCAGCTGCCTCCCAGAGCAGACCAGTTAAACCAGCCCCTCCGTGACTCACTGCCCAGCTATTTCAAGTCTTTGTGGGTGTGTAACTCCTAGCGTAAAAAAAAAAAAAAAAAAAAGAATTAAAAAATAAATAAATAAACAAGTAAAATCCTGCTCCGTCCCATGAGCTGCCGCAGCTGGACAGAAAGAGGCAGTGTCTCACCGCACCGGGACGGGCTGTGCTCACAAATGCCTCTGCCTTTCCCTTTCCCTATAAAGTCTGAGATCAAAATGAGTATTCGCAGCCTTCCTGGAGAGGTCCTTAAGGCTGCGGCATTGATTAATTGACCATGAAAGCCAGGCAGGATTTGGTACAGGTAAACTGAGGCGCAAACCACCCGGGGAAAGGCAGAAAAAACATGCTTTGGGCTGGATGCTCAGGGAGGGGGGAATTAGGCAGCGCTGAAGTCCCACGTTCCTGCCGCAGTTTTTCTCCCAGCAGCTTCGCTCCCCGGGCTGCGAGAAACCGCTTTCTGCGGCAAATCGCTGCAACGTAGCAAAACTTCCAAATAAAGCGACGCTTCAGCTTAGCGCCCTCTGACACTTGGTGCAGCAAATGAGGACATTTGGGACTTCCCAGAGTAGCAGCTGGTCCTCAAGAAGTGACCGCGCTTCCCCCCAAACCCTCGGGCGCCGCACTCCTGGAGGCGAGAGTGGAATTTGAACCGGGGAGTGAGGTACAGCCCTCAGCTGGGACTGGGACGGCAATGACGATCCACGCCTGAGCCCTTCCAGCAAATCCATGCCCGCAGGGAACATCCCGTGTGATTTAGTAACGTCTGGCGCGTTTGGCTCTGGACCATCAATTCTACATCTCTCTTTGCATCTTGCCTCCGCACCGTCATGCAACAGAGCAAATTCAGGCTCTGCTCACCAAAGCAGACTGAAACCACCCGGAGCGGCCGCTGCTCATTGCAGACAGCTTTTTCCTTCCCCACCTTGTCATGCTTCCCAACCCAAACTCCTCTGCAGCATTAATGGGCCCCGCTCAAGAGCTGCTGCCCCTCACCTTTGAGGTGATTCTTCCCCTCTACTCCACTCTGGGGAGACCCCACCTGGAGTACTGCCTCCAGCTCTGGAGTCCCCAACACAGGAAAGACATGGACCTGTTGGAGCGGGGCCAGAGGGGGCCATGAAGATGCTGGGAGGGCTGGAGCCCCTCTGCTGGGAGGACAGGCTGGGAGAGTTGGGGGGGTTCAGCCTGGAGAAGAGAAGGCGAAAAAGGGGAGACCTCAGAGCCCCTTCCAGTGCCCAAAGGGGCTCCAGCAGAGCTGGGGAGGGACTCTTGATCAGGGAGTGGAGCCATAGGACGAGGGGGAACAGTTATAAACTGGAAGAGGGGAGATTTAGATGAGATATGAGGAAGAAATGTTTCCCTGTGCGGGCGGTGAGCCCCTGGGGCAGGTTGCCCCGAGAAGCTGTGGCTGCCCCATCCCTGGAGGTGTTCAAGGCCAGGTTGGACGGGGCTTGGAGCAACCTGGGCTGGGGGGAGGTGTCCCTGCCCAGGGCAGGGGGTGGCACTGGATGATCTTCAAGGGCCCTTCCAACCCAAACCATTCTATGATTCACTCGTTCCAGTGCCACCAGGTTTACATGCATGTGCACCAGTTGCTGCCGTTCCTTAGGAAGGAGCAGGTATCACTGCTTTCACTTCCAGGGAATCCCAGTGTGGCTTTCACACTGACCTGCACACAAAATGTCCCATATATTTCATCTATCTCAACTGGCCGGGCAGGGAAACCCCCCGCCTCAACCACACCTGACCCTTCAGCTCTGTCCATACTAAACCGGTGGGCAACAGAGGGGAGGAGGCAGCTCAGGCGCTGCTAAAATACACGCCATAAATCAGATGGGGTCAGAGAAGCATGGTTAGAGGATGGTCAGCTGCTGAACTGCAATCTCCTTCCACGCTTCAGCACGGAAAGGGCTCCCACCCCAGGTCTGGGAAGTTGAGCTCTTGGCTCACCCTTTCCCGAGCCCTAAAGCTCTGGCTCCGTGCACCGGCTGAGCTGGAGCCCAGCCAGCCCCAAGCCCTGCCGCTTGGTCCAGGACCCGGGAAACCAAGTCTTTTGTGATTTCAAAGGCCATGGGATCCGGCCCATGGAGAGGAGCCCTTTCTGCTCGGAGGTGGATGCTCCAACTGCCGGTTATTTTAGGAGAAGGCTGTCTAGACGGAAAGCTGAGCCGAGCTGCCCTTTTAATTGCATCCGCCTCCCCGTGACTCTTTTTTGGTTCTGAATGTGAACGATTTATACGGGCTTTTCAAAATCCCATTGTAACAAAGAGCTGTGCCAGAGGAACATAAAGGCAGGCACTGAAAGAGAGGGGGGAAAGCCCGCCGTGAACAGAGGGGTTTCGGTGGCATGAGCTTGAGAACGGGGAAAAAAAAATCAAGAGATGGTCCCCCAGACCAGAGCTCTGGGCCGGCTCACATCCAGCCCTTTGCGGGCTTTTATCAGCCTCGTTTGTTAAAAAAATCAAGGGGAAGGACCCTCAGCTCACGCCTCAGGGACCCACAGGTAGAAGCTGCTGTACCCCCATTAAATCCAAGCCCAGCTGCCCACAGGCTTCAGCTGCATTAGGCCAGCTAATTGCCTTTAATTCACTTGAAAACACCACTGTAACTGCAGATAGCATCGCTACCTCCTCAGCTCCACACGCTTTTAACTCCTCTGCCATTTGCGCCGTCTCCTGCCTATAGCCTTTTAAAAATAAAGCGTGTTTCCCCGAGGGAGGTGTGGGCCCCGAGCGCCGTACGGCAGCGGCTGTCAGCGCTGTTTACTCCCAGACTGTTATTTGTGGTTTCCCCCCGAGCAGCGAGTCGGTTATTCCATTTTTTTTTTTTTCTTTCCCCCTGCATCTCTTCAGCTCCGTGTTTATATCTTTGTTGTTCAGGAGGAGGAAGAAAAGGAAACGGAGTGGAAAGGACAGATAACACCCTGCACGCCGCTTCCGGAGACGACCCATCGGGAGCATTTTTAGAGCCCTTTCAGGCAGTCAGAAATGAAGTAAGACTTTTTTTTTTTTTTTTTTTTTTTTTCCACAAAACAAATTTGAAAGTTTCCCTAAGCTCTGCAAGCCCTGCTGTGCTCGCACCACCACTTACAACAGCAGGGAAGAGCCTTCACCCCTGGGATGCTGAAGACCACGTTCCACTGCCCTAAAGTCTAACATGAAAGAACGAAACCCAGAGCAGAAATTGAAACCTGGAGCAGAAATTGAAACCCAGAGCAGCCGAACCTGCTCAGAAAGCCAGCAGCTAACCCAACACCTTCCAGCAGAGCCCCGGCCCTGCTCGCAGGGAGGTTTTATACCCCGACAAGGGGTGCAGCTGAGCAGGGTTGATGGGGCAGGCAGAAACCTGCCCTTGGCCAGGAGCAGACAGCCTTAAAGGACAAGCATTGGCTCCCCAGGGTGTAATTCCCTGCTCTGTCATAGACACCCATCCTCTTTTGACCCAGCCTAGAAGAAAGAATAAAGCACAAACGGAAAAAAAAAAAAAAAACTTATTTGAGCAATCAGCTTATACACTGGCTGTAGGACATCACTAAATTGGTGCTGCGCATTAAAAAACACCCGCGTGCTGCGACCTGCAACCCATGGTAACATTTTGCACGTCCAGCTTTCCCTTTGCAACTGCATATGCACCATACACTTAAAAAACCAACTGCTTTTCAGGAAGAAAACATCCACTAAGGAGGTAAGTGCAGCACACAATATATACAAAGCTAGAGGGAGGGGAAATTCATGACGACATCTGCCTGGTAAAACCTGCTCCTTCAGTGCCCCACACTAAATATTGGCAGGGGCAGGAACAGCACATCCATCTACTGGCACAAAAGGTACCGGCCCAGGTCTGCCAGGAAAAAGAAGTGTTTTCTGAGCAGAGTTTTCCCAAAGCAGAGTCTCAGGCTTCAAGGTCTGATCGAGAACCCAGACCCAACTTGCATCCTCACCCGTGAAGCATCACAAGCCCTGGGGCTCGCAACGGTTTTTGAACCGCATATTCAGACACCCCTTCAGAGGGTTGAAAAAGGGTGAAGTGAAGATGCAGAAACACTAGCTCAGTTGCATCACTCTTCTGGGGCTGAACTTCAGACCTTTGCCCCTTGGCAACTCCTTGTGGCCACCCAGCGAGGCGAAAAAGCTCAGCTCCCTGCCGTGCTGCAGCCCCGCCGCTCAAAGCCAACATCTCTCCCATTGAGGAGAACGGCATCACGGTTCATCCGTCACATCCAGCAGAGCCGCTAAGCTCTCCTAGGAAAAAAAACAGCTCCATGACATGGCAACTTCTTTCTGCTTTGGCCTCAGACCTTCCACCAGCATGAGGTCAAACCTTCCCCGGTCGCACTCTGGGCTGCTGGATGCTCAAGCTGGGAAAAGCAGGTTTTTCACCCCACAGTTGCTCCTTTCCTATCCTCCTATGTCCACTCCCAGGAGAGGACCGCAGGGTG